GAAATAACTACTTGCAGATAAATATGCAAACATATCCACGTTAAATCACAACAGCTATGTCAAACTAAAAAGAATGTCATCACTAAGCTGAAGGACAGAAAGAGCACAAATATTAAAAAAGGGCAGCCACGTTAGCAGGTAAGCCTTCTTACATACAATCGAAAAACATTTTTAAAAATATTCTTAACACACAGAAGGCGGCAAACGTGGTGCTTCTTGACAGGTAATCAACCTGAGAAACAGACTAGGGCAAGATACTGAAGAAAACAGCTAAAATCCCAAGCTTAGTTTTTGTCCTCACAAAGACGAAATCCGCTTCACTGGCAACTAAATGCCCTTAAGGATAGTACTCCCTGTGTGGGAACAACTTAATGTGTATGTAACAACAGAAATTAGCATTAAAAATACACAGACTCTAATAGACTTGTACAGCTAAATGTGTGCTTCAGAGATCAAGTTCTTTAGCTAGATTAGGAACCTTTGCTAGCAGGAAGAATTATTTTCTCCTCCTGTGCAATACAGGAAGCCTTATTGGAGCTTGCCCGCTTGTAAAACATCTGGCACTGACTGACACAGCCTACCTCACTAAATGAAATGTTAGTCTAGTGTCACAACAAAAACATTTATCTCTGTGTCATAAAAAAACTGCACTGAAAAATACTACCCTATATGCTTCACATTTCATTCATATCCCTAACGTATTTTAAATCACTTTAGGGATCATGAGGTGCTCTACTTGCACAGCTTTAGACACTGAAAGACTCTTCCCACAGCAAGATTTCTCAATACCGCCACTAAAATCCTGCTCCAAAAAGGTGGGGTTTTCAGCCTCCTCGCCCATCAGAGCTTCTTGTGGGGAAGCACAATCGCTCTAGTCACCACTGCCTATGCCTTGCATCTGCAGTCACAAGCACAGAGGAAATACTCTCTTCTTTGAAGAATAGGAAGATGCTGAAAAAGATTTGGGAAATTTCCTGCTACGAAGGAAGAAAAATAACCAGTGAAGCCTCCGAGGCTTAAAGCTCAAAAGCTCACTGAAGCTAATGGAATGGCTGGTCCCTGAAAGCTCACGAGAGCTTTTTCACAAAGAAGTGATAACCTCCAGCTGATTCTTACATCACTCTTAATAACATGCATGCCCATAAACAAAGCTCTTTATATTTCTGCCGCAGCAACCTAAGGGCTGGGAGAGGTGTGTCTAGGCAGTATTTACAAAAGCACCCTAGAAAAGAAAATGGACTGGAACATCATCCTCCCCTCACAGATGCCATCAAATTGCCATCGAAGGCACAGTGCTTTTGGCCACTACAGAGAAAATGTCAACATGAGATACTGGCAAAAACTACACCCAATGAAAATATATTAGTAATTGATCTTTTCAAGTATCATCAGAGACACAAACACTTGCCTAATTTTTTTTTTAAGTCAGCAAACGAGGCCCAAACCTGTTAAGCAAATAGGATCTGTTTATATGAAATCAATTTGGATCAAAGCCAGAAGACTCTCAAAAGAAAAGATAAAAGACGTACAGATACTGACAAAAAGAAAAAGATGATTTGTTAATTATTTGGTATTTGGAACAGACAGGGGAAAAGTAAAGTCACCTCACAGAAGTTCACTTTTATCTACATTGCTTTCAACACAAGAAAAGCAACAGAGAAGCCCAAAACAGCACACTTCAGAAACCGAGTAGTAAGAAAATCCCAACGATGTCATCAGATGAAACAATACAGAACCCATACCCAGCAAACATACATTCTTCCCTTCATCCTTAGTTTTCTGTGTGCTTGTTCACTGTTGCACTTAGAGGGGTATGTTACATACCTATTTTTTCCACTTTTTAAAAATCAGCAGCATAATCAAACCGGGCAAGCTTGTCTAGAACATACTCTATGCATAGAAAACTAGCTGTAGATACTCTAATGGCAATGTAACGCTTTAAGCTGACTTAGTAAATGTGAAATCAAAGCTCAGAACTTTTAAGTGCAGCTTAAGAGTACTTTAAGAAGAAGAATAAGATATTCTAATAAGCAAAAGCAATTTTGCTATACTGAAATGAAAATATTTAAATTGCAAATATTTTTCTGTTAGTAAAATCAGAAAAATACGGAATTAGAATTGCCACATGAAGTCAAATACTTCAAATCGTAAATTTCTTTTTCTTACAAATTGGTAGTCCCAAATATAAACAAGAGCACATCACATATAAATAACTGCTCATCAACTTTACAGCACAAAGGTTACTTCTGCTGGAACAGGAGGCATAGCTTCCTTTCTCCTCCAAATTAAAACCAAAGCCCATGCCTCTGCACACACGCAATTAGTCTGAAATTTCCCTGTAACTATACAAGGAAACAGATGACAACACACCTTCCCCGGCATAAGTCTGTGACCAGATCAGTTCCTCACTTTAGAAGGACTACTAATGTAAGGATTTGGACAAATCTCCAAAAACATTTATGGCTGAGGTGAAGGCGGGATGGAGAGGCAAGTATTGTTCTGACTGTGCTGAAGCCAGTTAAATAAATCTTAATTTCAAAGCTATTTATCAAACATATATAAAATTTATACATGTTCCCTTTCCGAGTTAAATAAAGGTGCCTTAAGAAAGCTTGCTTTAGTCTCGAGAGTCTCAACTCCTCCACCTTATACACTGAAACTGCTCTTCAATCTGGCAAGCAAGAAGGCCCAAACTCGTCATTGGGCTTTAAAGATGCCCAGAGAGCCAGGTCCCGTACAAGGGATATGCATCTTCAAGCCAAGAGCCCCTAACTCTGCTCACAGATGAAGCTGACCCAATGAATAGTCCTTAGATTTACATTATAGTTGGTATTTCCAGTAAGAAGTATGTAACACATAAGTGAACTGCTACCTCATCCTAAAGGAATTCAGCTATGAGCAGAATGAAAAGTACAATTTAGGTCTGAAAAACAGTATCTTGGTTATAAGCTGTACACCTGTATCAGCCACGAGAAAGTAGCACAGTTTGAGGCTTTTTAATATTTAGTTTTTGCACCACAAGTGCAATTAAAGCGCACCTTTCCGCAATTAAAAAATTGCCTAGTAAGAATCTGAAGATTTCTCTAAGAAGTTTGCTCTTCAGAAGCTGTTTAGTAGATTTCAAAAGACTAGAAAGTGAAACAACCACCACAAAAAACAACCAACCAAATAAAAACTACCTAATATTTCTGGGATCTCTGAACACAGAGATACAAACGCATTCCCTGCACTCATGGGCCTGGCATCACACATGCTCTGATAAGAAAGAATATTTCATGGTCCAGCTTCGAATCATAACCCCTTCCTTTGTGAGCTTACGTACTAGACCTGTAGAAAAATCTCTGAGTTTTGCCTCATTCCATCTGATGAGATAAATTCTCCCAAATTTGCTTCCACTCATTAATGGACTACACCAAGGACAACTTGGTCTTTCACGAAGTACAAAAATTAAAGTTTGAAATATAGCATGTTCCAAATGACGACTTCTAAGGAAAACAAAGTTTTTATTAATCTAGTCCAGCATGTCAAGATTTATCCTATGACACATCAAACCCACGGCATGTAAGTAACCTGGTGCTGATCTTGCTATAGCTACTCGCGTTGAAAGGTACTTAGATCTATGAAATCACACAGAATGGGGTGGTTTATTTTAAGCAATAAAATTCAACAGATCACCTTATTGTGCTAACAAAAGAAAAAAGGAAGATCTGTTTTAGGCAAACTTGTGAAAATATTTTATCTCAAGTATTACCATTTTCTTAACCTTTCTCCCGTTAAATCCACAGCTCTACAAATGAGTATGTTAAATTGAAGTACCTTTAGAAAAATAAAGGAAAACCAATCTTGCAGTCAGAGTATGAAGACTAAAATTCAGCAAAAGGTAAAAAGCAAATTTTCACACCACTTTCATCAGCTGAAAGTAAGAGTATCGACACCATGTCAAAAGATCTTTATCAGAACAGCACATTACCAGAACATGCCATAATGCCATAAGTAACACTTCATGTTCAAATTTAATGAATTAATTCAAACTCCTGTTTAGCTGCAGCGATTCCTTTGCATCAAAATCAAACCAGGCCATAAACAGGTTTACACTCTGACATTGTTCGCTTATTGCCTTCCACGTTCTTTACCACACCACAAAGTTGTATCAAAACACAGATAACGCTAACGGATAATAATCTGTAATCCCCGACACCCTTGCACAATCACTCTGACTTGTACTTAACAAGAAATTGACAGATCACCGTTAAGGCTTGCTTTTGACAACAGTAACCCACAGCATGTGTGTATTTACCTCAAATGTATCATAAAGACACATTTGCTGATACTGAAAATACCTAGGAGATATACGCATCACACAAAGTACAAACAAGACGTACAGCAGGTGGGGTTATAGGAGTGAAGCAGTTCATCGCTTGATCAGAATGACTTGCTTCACATTATGAACTGGCTAGTTCATAAAATGATAATTTTCTTCCTTTACACCATTTTCTTCTCATAACAAAGTTTAGAATGAGGTAGAAGTACACTTTTTCTTATGCATTCACAGTCAGACCTTCACGTTTAAATGCACTGGAAACACAAAATTCAGTAAAGCTAAAAAATTTAAAATAAAAGCCATAATGGAAATTTATTATTACTTAACCTACCCCCAAAAAACACCAGCTTGCAAAATGCTCGCAAGCTGATATTCAAAGTTATTCAGATATAACACTGAAGCATTATGTTAAACTGTCTCAGTATTCGGACATCTTTTCTCAAATGCTTTACAGCCACCTCAGACCTCCACGTAGTCAATTCATGAAAGATTTAACACAGGAAAAGAAAAATCACCAAGAAAATGGAAAAAAAAAAAAAGACAAAAAAACAAGGAAATAAAAAAATTGCAACATATTAAATCATTTAGCTGTTTTTATTATTTTTTTAACACCTATCACAAGAACGCAAAAAAGCAGGGGGCAGAAGGTATCACAAATACTAGGTCAAAATGTACCCACCCCTAGCCGAGAGCTTTTTGGTGTTGATGATTTTGGCGGCGTACTCTTGCCCGGTGGTGATCTTCATGCACCTCCTCACGACGGAGAAGGCCCCTCTGGAAAGCAAGCAGCGGACACAGCCTCAGCCCCGTTACCGGCGCGGGGGCTTTAAGGCGGCTGTAGCCACGAGCCCTACCCAAGACCGAACCCATCCCCGGCTGCAACCGATGGCGGGC